TAACAATTGCTAGTCCTTGACAAGTTGATTCTAAAATGTATATAGAAATACAAAAAAGCTAAGATGTATCATTTTTTTAATTTGACCAAGAAGAAAAAAACACTTGGGGAATTCACTTGATTTCAATACTTATTTAAAAGTTTAATAATCAAGCATAATCTCGGCCTAAGAACAGGTGTAAAGATCAATGAGAGGAAATAGAGAATTCTAAAATAGACCCAAACGGAAACTGTCAACTTATCTTTAACAAAAGCACCAAGAAGAAAGAAAATTATTTTCGATGAACACACACAAAAATTAATTCAAAATCATCATAAACTGAAATGTGAAAATTAAAACTACAACAAACTTAGAAGAAAACATAGGGAAAACATCTTTCTGACTTTTGGCCAAGCAGCAATTTCTCACAGAGGACAAACAGTATATACTAACTATACAGGAAAATATTAATGAACTAACTTCATCAAAATGTAAAACTTCTGCTCATCAAAAACTTCTACTAACAATACGAAAAGACAAGCAATGGGCAGGGAGAAAATACTTGTAATACATATATCTAACAAAAGACACTATCCGGAATATATAATAAACTTCTATAAATCAATAACAAAAGACAAACAACCTAATTTTTTAATTGAGCAAATGCATTATGAACAAATACATAACAAAAAAGATGCACAAATGGATAATAAGCATATGAAAATAAGCTCAACATCACAGTTATTATGATACAAATCTAAACCAAAAGGAAATAAGATTTCAAAGCGCACAAGCCTCACTTAGCAGGAGACTTGCAGGATATAAAGGTGTACTGGGGACTTTGTTTTAAAAACTGCAGTATCTTTTTTTTATTTTTTAAGATTTTATTTATTTATTTGACAGACAGAGATTACAAGTAGGCAGAGAGGCAGGCAGAGAGAGAGGAGAAAGCAGGCTCCCTGCTGAGCAGAGAGCCCAATCCAGGACCTTGGGATCATGACCTGAGCCAAAAGCAGAGGCTTTAACCCACTGAGCCACCCAGGCACCCCCACAGTATCTTTTTGAATGGAGCCTACCCAAAGGGCTTTTCCCCTCATCCTCATCAAAATGGAATCACAAACAGGCAGCCACTGCTAGGAATAGATACCAAAGACTCAAGGAGACTCAGAGTGAGGTTCAGGAGTTGCCTTTCCGCCCCACCCCATTGGATCGTGCTTTTGGTTTCCTTCTTCTAAAAGATCTGCTGCTCAACAAGCTGCTGACACCCAGGGTCTTGACATACTAACAGCTCTTAGAGTCAAGGTGTACAAGGATCCCCAGGATATAAGCATTGTTGGACTGGTTTCTCTGGGGGATACGGAACCACACAATGATTAGAGCATTTCCACATCATCCCTTTAACCCAGCAAGGGTCAACACCCAAATGCCACTCACACTGTAGGGAGAGTCAGATCAGCAAAAGGGGATGAAGGTCAAGTTGATAACAGTGAATTTGAGTGTAAACATGCCAAAGGATGGGCTCTCCTTGTTAAAAAAAAATGGTCAGAAGCTTGAAATGGAACTCCAGTTTCAGCCTTAGTCCCTGAGAATCTGGGACTAAATAAAATTTAGTATTTAGAACAAATGTATTTAGTATTTTAGAATAAAAGTTCCCATTTATTTTTTATGGTTATGATTTTTTAATCAAATTCTCAACTTTATTTTTCTTTATTATATTAGTCACCAAACACTACATCATTAGTTTTTGATGTAGAGTTCCATGATTCATTGTTTGCATGTAACACCCAGTGCTCCGTGGAATCCGTGCCCTCCTTAATACCCATCACTGGGTTAACCCATCCCCCCAACCCCTCCCCTCTGCAACCCTCAGTTTGTTTCCCAGAGTCGACAGTTTCTCATGGTTCGTCTCCCCCTCTGATTACCCCCCTTCACTTTTCTCTTCCTTCTCCTAATGTCCTCCATGCTATTCCTTATGTTCCACATGTAAGTGAAACCATATGATAACTCCCATTTAAAAGAAAAAAATCTAGACCAATTAAATCTATGTGAGGTGGGAAGTGGAAACCACATGCCTAGAAGAGCAACACCCCGAGTTCCAAAAGCCAAGGGTTGGGGAGCAGGCCTGGGGAGCCCAGCAGTGCCAGTTAGGACTCCTCAGTTGTTGGCTGAGAGCAGAGGTTCTCGGGGGGCAACAGACAAAGGCATACCCTCTATTCTGGCTGCCTGGAGCATCTGCCCCCATCTTCTCCGGTTCCTGCCTGGACAACATATTGCTTCTCATTTCTCTTCTCTCCTGAGGCCTGGAGCAGAATGGCTCTGGAGCCCACACCCGGCTCCACTGCTTGAAGAGCCTCGTTTGTGCTCTGCCAGAAGAAGGCCTGGCTGGAGGTCAGCCCACTACCTCACAGGCAGGGGAGAAGAGGGATGGATCCCTCATCCAGCCCTCTCATTCTTCCCACTGAGGCTCCACTTCCTGGCGGGTGCAGGGGTAAGTGTGCAGGGGGAGCCTGTGCTGTGGGTCCCCCTCCTCATCTTCATGAGTCCAGCCTCATTTCCTCGCTTCTGAGGACGGGTCCGAGGGCAACAGGAAGCCCAGGGGAGGACTTGAGGTTGGACGGCGTGACCAATGTAGGCTCATCTGGGGAGCTGTCACCTGCAGGCCTGCGCAGCCAAGGCTGTCACGTCAGACCCTGAAACTCAGAGTAAGCCCAGCAGCTTCCTCGGAGGCCCCTTGTCCCCTCTCTGGGTTCCTATGGATCTTACAGTCCCACCACCGTGCGATGTAATATTGCAGGGTCATTAAGACCATGCACTCTGTGGGTGTTTTGGTGGCTCCGTGAGTTAAGCATCTGACTCTTGATTTCAGATCTCAGATCATGATCTCAGGGTCTTGAGGTCGAGCCCTGTGTCGGACTCCATACTGACTGTGGAACCTGTTTGAGATTCTCTCTCTCCTTCACCCTCTGCCTCTACCCTTGATCTCTCTCTCTCTCTTTCCCCGTCTCTCTAATGCACTGTGGAGCTGGACCATGCACTGTGGAGCTAGAATGGCATAGTTAGAATCCCAGTTCCACACTCGTTAGGCCCTGATCTTGACCAAATTATTGAACTTCCCTGTACCTCAGTTCCTGCATCGGTAAAATGGGCCACCTCACAGGGTAATTCTGATGACTACCGAGTTTATGGAATGGGCTTACAGCGGAGCCTGGCACAGAATTAGTAAATCAAAATCAGTAAGTACAGGGTACTTGCACAAAAATAGACATATAGATCAACAGAATAGAATAATAAAGAGCTCAGAAATAAATCCATGCTCATAAACTCAATCTATGAGAAAAAAAGGCAAGAATATATAATGGAAAAAAGACAGTCTCTTCAATAAATGGTGTTGGAAAAACTGGACAATTCCATGAAAAGAATGGAATCGGACCAGTTTCTTACACCATCACAAAAATAAGCTCAAAATGAATTAAAAACCTAAATGTGAGACCTGAAACCATAAAAATCCTAGAAGAAAACATAGGCAGTAATTTCTTGGATGTCAGCCACAGAAACATTTTCCTAGATATGTCTCCTCAGGAGGGAGAAATAACAGAAAAAAAAAAAAAAAAAAAGCTCTTCCAGAGTGAAAGAAACCACTGACAAAACAAAAAGACAACCTACTGAATGGGAGTAGATATTTACAAAGGATATATTCAATGAGGGATTAATATTTAAAATATATAAAATACTTATTCAACTCACAAATGATCTAATTAAAAGTGGGTAGAGGATCTGAATAGACATTTTTCCAAAGAAGACATCCAGATGGCAACACACACATATAAAGATGCTCAACTTCACTCATCATCAGGGAAACGCAAATCAAAACCACGTGAGATACCACCTCATCCCTCTCAGAATGGCTGGAATAAAAAAGACGAGAAATAACAAGTGTTGGTGAGGATGTGGAGAAAAATGAACCCTCGTGGTGCGCCTGGGTGGCTCAGTGGGTTAAAGCCTCTGCCTTTGGCTCCGGGCATGATCCCAGGGTTCTGAGCAGAGAGCCTGCTTCCTCCTCTCTCTCTGCCTGCCTTTCTGCCTACTTGCGATCTCTATCTGTCAAATAAATAAATAAAATCTTAAAAAAAAAAAAAAATGAACCCTCATGTGCTATTGGTGGGAATGGAAATTGATACAGCCACTGTGGAAAATAGTATGAAAGGCCCTCAAAATATTAAAAATACAATTAATACATGATCCAGTAATTCTACTACTGTGTGTTTATTCAAAGGAAATGAAAATACTAATTTGAAAAGATATATACACCTTGATGTTTACTACAGTTTATTTACAAGAGCAAAGATATGGAAGAAACCCAAGTATCCATCCATACATGAATGAATAAAGAAGAAATGGTATACATATAAAATGGAATATTACTCAGCTATTAAATATAATGTTAAGTGAAATAAGTAAATCAAAGAAAAACAAATACCATATGATTTCACTCAAATGTGGAATTTAAGAAACAAAACCAAAAAAAAGAACAAACAAAAAAACCATACTCTTAAGAACAGAGAACACACTGACAGATACCAAAGGGGAAGTGGGGGGGGGCCGGAGGGTGAAAGAGGTGAAGGGGACCAAGAGGCCATTCATCATGATGGGCACTGAGTAATGTATAGAATTGTTGAATCATATTATACAACCGAAAGTAATATAACAGTATATGGACTTATACTTCAATTTTTAAAAAAGGCAATAATATTTTGCACTCACTAGAATTGCTAAAAAAAAAAAAAAAGGCACAGCGATCACATGTCCCTCAAGTTCCCACAGCTAAGAAGTGGTAGAACCAAGAACCGAGTTCAGGCCACCTGATTCTTCATGCCCCTCCCCAGCACCATACGTGTTTCTAAGTTCCCATACTTCCCACAGTTGCCACCAGAGCAGGAGAGAATGAGTGACAGCTAACAACAATGGCGACACTGACATCAGAAGCCTACCATGAAGTTCTCCAAGGTGACATCCTTCCTTACCTGTCCAGGGCCATGCTGGTGGGCATACTCCTTCCAAACCCGCGAACCCCCATCTGACGGAAATACGGAATGCAAGAGAGGTTGGCAGCAATGATGGCCAGTGAGTCAGAAGGGCTCACGAAGAAGCCATTTCGGCCCAGGATCATATAACGGTCCTGCCAGAAGGAATGGGTGACAAAGATCAGAGAGAGGCATCTGCTGCTAGCTCCCCATTCCCATAATCATCACAAGCTACTCTCTACCACCATCCTATATTTAAACAACCTAAAACAACTTGAATGAAGCCAAGGAGGGCATGAGAAACCTTCTTGTAAATTCCTGAATATTGTAGGGCCCAGGACCATGACACAGTTTGGAATGTGTCCCACCTGTTGGAATGCGGATGACTACCTCAAGCGTCAGTAGCCTTCATATACTCATCCCATACTCTCCCCCAAATATAACGGAGAACAAGAATTATTGCTGAAATACCTAGTTTCTTAATGTGGTGGTTTTAACTAAACCAACCATAAATAAAGATTTATTGCATGAATATTTTTAAAAGTAATAACTTTTTTATAACATAATGCTACCCTGGAACTACGAAAAGTAAAAGCTGTTTAACTGCAATACGGAAGAGCCATTAAAAAGCAGAGCAGATGCAGAGCCAGTTAGGGTTCAAATGCCCCATACATATCAGCCAGCCCCATGAATTCTCTGGCTTCCAATGCTTGGCTTATTATCTCGTAAAAGGGTCGGCAGGCAGAAAAGTTTCTTACTTACCCCATCAGCATCAAATGCAGCTCCAAATCCATATTCTCCTCCTTTCATAGCTTCCAGAAGCGTTGTTGCATACGTCAAGTTTGGGTCAGGAGGCTGACCTCCAAAATCTTCCAAGGGGACACAGTTTATTGCAGAATTGGCTGGAGCTCCCAACTCATCACACAGGACTTTTCTCACATAGGGTCCCATGACTAAAAAGAGATATGCGGCAACATGAGATCTTGGCAGAAACCTCCAAAAATGTTCGGTTCTGTTTAGAACAAGAAAGGCCACTTAACAGCACAGGAAACAAGTTCTACAGGATTTGTCAAGACGCAACACACAGTGATACTTACTTCAACTACTACTCACTGAGTACCCACCATGTTCCAGTTGCTGTGTTGGGCATATAGATGTATTCAATAGTCAGTTATATAAAATTTTTCTCCAAAACTTTTCTAATATGTTTCCAGAAAGAAACCAACTACTTAATAATGATCCAATGAGTGTTGCTTTTTATGTATTAAAAATTTTGGCTAAATATATGCAAAAGCACTAAAGGCTCTAGCAATGTTCCCTGAGTCTACAATCATTTTAACTCGGCGAAGAATATAATTAGACAATGTAAACAATGGAAGCATGTAAAACTAAGCATATTTTACACAATAAATGCTAAGGAATGGTATTTTCCAGTTGAACATATATTTATGGAGCACCTAACATGGAATTCCTATCTTAAGAATAGAAACATCATATTCAAGCAATGCAAATCACACAGTTTCTAAATTACTGGGCTCCAAATCCAGTAGAGGGATGAGTTAAATCTATAGGTGAGTGATTACAGAAATAAGACTGGTGCTATGCAATGGATATTTATGAAATAATTAGATCTGATGGCTTTCAAGAAGAAACAACCACATGTAAAAGTTTCAAGAAGGAGGTAGCATTTCTGGAGAGACTTGAAGAAAGAACATAAAATTGATAGGGCGCCTGGGTGTCTCAGTGGGTTAACCCTCTGCCTTCGACTCAGGTCATGATCCCAGGGTCCTGGGATCGAGTCCCCACATCAGGCTCTGTTCAGTGGGGAGGCCTGCTTCCTCCCCTCTCTCTCTGCCTGCTTCTCTGCCTACTTGCGATCTCTCTCTCTGTCAAATAAATAAATAAATAAATAAATAAAATCTTTTTTAGAAAAGAATATAAAATTGATAGAGATGGGGGATAGGAATGCCATCCAAATGGAAAGGACATTATGAACAAGGGAATGGAGCCTGAGGTAGAATGTATAGAGCACATTTGGGGAATGCATGTAATCCTGTTAGCTGAAATATATATAAAACATTTTTTTCTAATTAATTTCCACTAACCCAACCCTCAAATAGTGAACATCTTTTGACTTTGCGTGTCCAGCATTTATTTCCCCTTCCTCTAGTTACAATATTTTGGGTTTTCTATGGAGAATAAATCCTTTCCCCATCTTAGTTCTTATAAGTTAAGGTCTGCCCAGTCAATGTCCTCTATCACTCAGCCAGATAAGTGATTCAGAGGTGGACATATAGAACAAGCTGGGCAATGAGGCTCAAAACCAGATATACTGCTTAAAACATTTAGAAAGAGAAACTGGCTTCCCTCAAGGCCAGTTAATGCTAGGGGAAGAACCTAAAAATCCCTTTCTGGGGAATATGATCAGCCCAATAAGAAAGAACAAAACAAGCCAACAGATGACGTCAAAATAAAGCCCATGGAGGATGAGCTCCACACATGGGTTCAGATCTCCCAACAAAATTTTTGGTGCCTCATTCTTAAATGTGCCAGGCAGCCAAGGATCACTAAACTTTTGAAAAGGGCAATTAACATGAGATCAAAACAAAAAGAGTAAAGAGCAACTTAGAAGAAACAGAAACTATACAGGGAGAAGAAAACTCTTAAATATAGATCAGTAACATTTTAATTATATAATACAATTATCATAATTATAGGATATTAAATATTTATAAATATTTATACTTATATTTATAAATATTTATAAATATAAAGGTCTATTAAAAAATCTTTCTTTTTAAAGATTTTATGTATTTATTTGAGAGTAGGTGAGAGAGAGGGAGAGAAAGGCAGGGGAAGGGCAGAAGGAGAAGCAATTTCCCTGATGAACCATGGGACTATGACCTGAGCCCAAGTCAAATGCTTAACCAATTGAGACACCCATAAAAAACAATCTTACAATTAATTATATCCTTGAAATAAAATACAAATGATAGGAGAGAGGCAAGATGGCAGAGTAGTAGCAGACTGAAATGACATCAGATCCCAGGAGTTCAGCTAGATAGGAATCAAACCATTCCAAACACCTACAAACTCAATAGGAGCTCAAAGAGAAGAAGAGCAGCAATTCTAAGAACAGAAAATCAACCACTTTCTGAAAGGTAGGACATGCGGAGAAGTAAATCCGAAGCTACGGGAAGAGAGACTGCAGGGGAAAGGACCAGCTCTTGGCAAGTGATAGAGCAGCGGAGCATAAAATCAGAACAATTAGGAGTCTGCTACACTGAGGGACATCGCTCCAGAGGCTAAGCGGGGGTGGAGTCCTCAAGGGGACAGTGTGGTCTCAGGTCCAGGGGGGTCACAGAAAGACTGGGGGTGTCTGAGTGTGGCAGAGCTCCCAGGTATCAAGCAGGGAAGCCGACTACACAGACAGAGTTGAGGAGAGGGCTTTCAGCTTGGGGTTACCTTAAACCATGATCCGAGGCACAGTTGGGCAATTGTTCTTCAAGCAGGGACCCCCACAAGTGGCATATCCAGGGAGACTCACCTTTCTGCTCCGGGAGGAGCAGTGCAAGAGGAATCTGCTGGGTTTGAAGACTCCAAAAGGGGCCAAGCGCAAGAGATAGAAATACTCGGTCACAGGCCGGGTCAGCTTAGAGTGCAGCCTGAGACAAGGGAGATGGGAGGGACTGACTGCTTTTCTCCGAGGGCGCACTGAGGAGTGGGGCCCAAGCTCTTGGCTCCTCTGAGCTGGAGATTGGGAGGCCGCCATTTTCATTCCTGTCCTCCAAAGCTCTACAGAAAGCGTTCAGGGAACAAAAGCTCCCGAGCATGAACCTGAGCAGATTACTTAGCCCAGCCCCTGGCAAGGGCAGTGCAATTCCACTTCAGACAAAGACATTTGAGAATCACTGCAACAGGCCCCTCCCCCAGAAGATCAACAAGAACATCCTGCGAAGACCAAGTTTACTCATCAATGAGAACTGCGGAACTCCAGAGCTAGGGGAAAGTGACACATAGAATTCGTGACTTTTTACCCATGATCCTTTACTCTTGCAAAGTTAAATTTATTTAATTTTATTTTTTTCTTATTCTATTTTCTTAACGTTTCCTCATTCCTCTTTTAACATTTTAACTAGTTTATCTTAACAATACCTTTCCTAAAAAAAAGCTTTTTTAAAACTTCATTGTTATAGTCATATTTTATCACTTTGTTGTATTTAACCTTATTTTTTGTATAAATATATATATGTACATACATATATATATATAGGTGTGTTTTTTTTTCTAAAAAATTGTGGGATACAATTTCTTCTAATAGATCAAAATATACTCTACTCTAGCACATGGCTTTGTTCTAGTCTCCAGCCTGAGCACATTCCCTCCTCTTTTTTTTTTCTTTTTCCAACCAACTTAACAATTCCTATTTTAATTTTTTTTTAATTTTCATCTTTACAATCATCGTGTTTACCCTTCTTTTTCTATATATACAAGTTTTTCTTTCATTAAAATTTTGGGAGATAGATTCTTCTAAGACCAAAATACACCCAAAATCAACTGAGTGGCTCTGTTCTATTCACAGTCTAATATATATGTACAATTTTTTTTTTCTTTCCTTTTTTCTCCCTTTCTTCTCCCCCCGGTTTTGGATCTCTTCTGATTTGGTTAGCATACATTTTTCTGGGGTCCTTGCCACACTTTTAGTATTTTCTCTCATTCATATATTCTTATCTAGATAAAATGACAAGGTGGAAAAACTTACCACAAAAAAAAGAACAAGAGGCAATACCGAAGGCTAGAGACCTAATCAACACAGACATTGGTAATATGTCAGAACTAGAGTTCAGAATGACGATTCTCAAGGTGCTAGCTGCACTCGAAAAAGGCATGGAAGATATTAGAGAAACCATTTCTGGAGAAATAAAATCCCTTTCTGGAGAAATAAAATCCCTTTCTGGAGAAATAAAAGAACTAAAATCTAACCTAGTTGAAATAAAAAAGGTATTAAAGAGGTGCAATCAAAACTGGAGGCTCTTACTGCTAGGATAAATGAGGCAGAAGAGAGAAATAGTGATATTGAAGATCAAATGATGGAGAATACAGAAGCTGAGCAAAAGAAAGATACACTACTGCTGGACCACAAGGGAAGAATTCGAGAGATAAATGATAGCATAAGATGAAACACTATTAGAATAGTTGCATTCCATAAGAAGAAGAAAGAGACAGAGGGGCAGAAGGTATATTGGAGTTAATTATAGTAGAGAATTTCCCTAATATGGCAAAGGAAACAAGCATCAAACTCCAGGAGGCACAGAGAACCCCCCTCAAAATCAATAAGAATAGGTCCATACCCTGTCATCTAATAGTAAAATTTACAAGTTTTAGTGACAAAGACAAAATCCTGAAAGCAGCTCAGGACGAAAAATCTGTAACATACAGTGGTAGAAATATTAGATTGGCAGCAGACTTATCCACAGAGACCTGGCAGGCCAGAAAGAACTGGCATGGTATATTCAGAGCACTAAACTAGAAAAATATGCAGCCAAGAATACTATATCCAGCTAGGCTATCATTGAAAATAAGAGGAGAGATAAAAATCATCCAGGACAGGAGTGCCTGGGTGGCTCAGTGGGTTAAGTCCTCTGCCTTCAGCTCAGGTCATGATCTCAGGGTCTTGGGATCAAGCCCCACATCGGGCTCTCTGCTCAGCAGGGAGCCTTCTTCCCCCTCTCTCTCTGCCTGCCTCTCTGCCCACTTACAATCTCTCTCACTCTGTGTCAAATAAATAAATAAATAAAATCTTTAAAAAAAAAAAAAAACCTTCCAGGACAAACAAAAATTAAAAGAATTTGCAAACACCAAATCAGCCCTACAGGAAATATTGAAAGGGGTCCTCTAAGCAAAGAGAGAGCCTAAAAGTAGTAGATCAGAAAGGAACAGAAACAATATAGAG